CTACCATGACAGCAACATTGCCTTGCTTATCCACTTTATTGACACATGAAGAACTGCCACTCACAAGTTGCCAAGTAAAGTATTTCTAACCAATCGTAAGTCAGTAGAGTTCTTAGTGGGCTAGAAAGAAAAAACAGACATCATGAATCCAGTAAGAGAGGGAGGGAGGAGACATTTTCTTCTTCCTTTTCCCAGCTGTGTAGATGGTTTAGGTTCAAATGCTTCTTAAGCCAAAAGGACTGAAATGGAGAAACCCCCTGTGCTGTAGGCTCAGGATAAAAATGGACAATCACTTGGCTGAAGTTTAGCTCATCTCTATGCCTGAGATCAGTCAGACACACCAGTACATGGTCAGAGTGTGTCTGTCTCGAGAGGACTAGAGAGCGCCTTTGCACATGGGCAGTCGCAGCTCAGAACAGAGAACTATCAAATTGCCACCCCTTGGGAACCTCCACTAGACCTTGATAATGGGTCATGCTTCTCTCTGAAGCTTTCTAACTAGTCCTGTGTCAGTAGTCTCCTCTGTTGGTGTGGACACTAGTGGGAGCTACCACAATAATTATGGCCCATGGCAAATATTTGTGCAACCTGGTTATTGGGAAGAGGTACCAGCCATGGCAAGAGAAGACCTGCGTTTGAGTCCTGGTGTAGCCACTTACCAGCTAGGCTGGAGGTCTTGTGAACTGTTCAATAAAACCTCTTAAAAGCCTCCACTATCACACTCTTCTTATTCTCACTCCATAGATAAGAAGACAAGGTCTGGTTGGAAGGTTAAAGGCCTTTGGTTAGAGCCAGGTAGAACTGGTTTGAAAATGTCATCACTTACTAGCTAGGTGACCTTGAGTAAGTTACTAAATTTCTCTGAGGCTGTTTCTTTGTCTGTAAAATAGGAATCATTCTAAGGCAAGAACTAACATTTGGTGAGCATTTATTAAAATGACAGGACTGTCCCCAGCACATAACATGGATTTACTCAGATAGGCTTCATAGTGACCCCAAGCATAATAAAATCATTACCCACATTTTACAGAGGAGGAAGCAGAAATCTAGTTACTTGATCAAGTTTACACAGTTAGGCGGTATGCTGCTACAATTATAACTCAGAGATGATGACACCACCTCATAGCGTTATTGTGAGGTTAAAACAATCAGTAGTAGGACTGGAGGTGTGGCTGAAGTGGTAGAGTGCCTGCTTTGCAAGCACTAAAACCTGAGTTCAAATCCCAGTCCCACCAAAAAAACAAACTAAGAAAAAAATGTGAAATAATCAGTTGCAATGTAAAAGTTAATATATGAGAAGAGTTATGCAAAGATGAGAGGAGGTATAAATGGAATTTTCCTGTAAGGACTGGCATTACACATGAAATGGTACAATAGTTACTCAAGGTAGACTGTGATAAATTAAGAATGCAGATTGTAGGGGCTGGGGAAATAGTTCAGTGATAGAGAAAAGAAAAAAAGGATAAATAGTAAGACGGCAGATGCCTAAATTGGACTAAATGGTACAAAGTCACAGATCTTCATACTCGATTAAAAGTAATCATATGCTACTTAAAGCAAAGACTTTAAATATAATTGACGCAGGGCTGGTGTTATACCTCAGTGGCAAAGCACGTCCTTAGCGTGTGTGAGGCCCTGGGTTCAATCTCTATCATCCAGGAAACCAAAATCTGGTCTGTAGGTTTATAGACCAGATAAGTTGGACAGGTTGAAAGTTAAAATAGCCATCATGCAAACACTGAGGATAAAAAAACCTGATGAGGGCTGGTGGAGTGGCTCAAGTGGTACAGCACCCTAAGTTCAAAAAAAAAAGTACCACCAAAAAAAAAGAAAGAAAGAAAGAAAGAAAAGCTGATGAGTTTAATATCAAAGCAGACTTCAGTGACTCACACTTACAACTCCAGCACTTGTGAGGCCGAGGCAGAAGGATATGAAGTTTGAAACCAGCCTGATCGCATAGTGAGACCCTGTCTCAAAAAAAAAAAAAAAAGAAAAAAGAAAAAGAAAAAAAAACAAAACCTGGGATTGGCGACATGGCCCAAGCAGTACAGTCTGCCTAGCAAACACAAATCCCTGAGTTCAAATCCTAGTACTGATAAAATGAAATAAAACAGACAATTACTGGAAAGACAGAAATGTTATAATGAGAAACAGATAGCAATTCTAAGTGACTACATATCTAACAACAGAGCTTCCAAACACATGCAAAAGACAGGCGCTGGTGGCTCACACCTGTAATCCTAGCTACTCAGGAGGCAGAGATCAGGAGGATCGAGGTTCGAAGCCAGCCCCAGGCAATTAATTCTGCGAGACCCTATCTCGAAAATACCTAGCATAAAAAAGGGCTGGTGGAGTGGCTCAAGGTGTATGCCCTGGGTTCAAACCCTAGTACCGCAAAAAAAAAAAAAAAAACCCAAAACACCACATGCAAAAATGTTTAGACTGGAAGGAGGAAAATAGACAGAGTCCACAATTACAATTTTAGAGTGCCATTTTAGGAACTGATAGAACATGCAGACACATGCAAAAAAAAATCTGCCAGGATATGGGACTTTTGAATAATGCTACCAACCAACTAGATCTAATTGACATTTGTCAGGGGCTACACACAACCACTGCGAAGTAGACATGGTTTCTAGTATAAATAGAGCATTCATTCAAGGTAGATCCCAGGCTAGGTCATGGAGAACCTCAATGGGCTGCAAAGAATGAACTCTCACAAGAAATCACTAAAATGAGGGTGAAGGTTACCTACTCTCCCTAGAGCTCTGGCTCTATGAATTCTCTGATGTGAGGCACTTTCTAGCCCTTTCCCCCAGGCTACTAACAATCATCATTTGCTTATTAGCTTTTTAGCTACGTTGCCAGTGTTAAGAATCAGTTCTTGAACCCCATAAACAATTGTTTTTTTAAATGGAAATCGCAAAGAATACTAAGGGTTTGAACTTAGTGCTCCCTTCCCTGGGTTCTACAGTTCCTTATTCTCAGAAAATGCAATCGTCCACCTGAAGCGTGGCACATATGATTTGGACATCAGAACATCTGTTGCTTAAGATTTTCTAAAATAATCTCAGTTGCCACTGAGGACAATGAACTTCTGCAAAAGAGAATCTGTCAGTCAGGGATCCTCTCCTCAGAGCACTTAGTTTTTCACTCAGCTGGCTTCCAGAGTTGAGACCAATATTGGGGTTCCTCCACGGAACCCCAAAAGATGCTCTGTGTGCGCGCGCTCGAGTGTGTGTGTTTGTGTTCCAGGTGCTAATGTCTCAGAGGCAGTCAGTTTCAAAGCTAAAATAATTTAATATACCAATGGCTCTGAAACTGGGGTCAGGCCTACTCACTGGGTTTGCCTAAAGGAGTGTGCTGAAGCCAAGCACGGTAGTACACACTGTAATCGAAAGTATTCAGGAGGCTGAGGAAGGAGGATGGTGTGTTCAAGGCCTGTGCGGGTAATGATGTAGCTATACCATCTTTAAAAAAGTATGGCGATGCCCTTGGCATTTTCTGTCAGATTCTCCAGGAATAAGACCTTTGACCTCTGATATGTTAAAAGGATTATCACATTATCTTTTCAAGTCCTCAGAAACATCTCCACACCTTATCCCTACAGAGCATCCATTTTCTTTTCTAAGAGATGCAGAGTTGCATCCAAACACATCCAATTTACTCATGGCTACACTAAAGACATTTTCAGTGGCAATCCCACCTTCCACACAACACTGTCTTAGAGTCCATTTATTACCATCTTACAGAGTAAAACTCTGCAGACACCACTTGGGGAAATGCTAGTTCAGAAAGTTCACTCATTCTTCTGTTCATTTCAAATATTTACCAAGCCTGTAGCATGTGAGGAGCTTCTGGGTGCTGCTGTTGACATGACATTGGGTCTGAGCCTCCCAAAACTGAAGTGGAGGACTCCAGGGCTAAGAGGGTGTGCAAGAAGTCAGATAACCAGATCTGAATTCAGTCCAGCCCATCCCTCCTAGAAGGTGGAGCTTTGGAAAGATCACAAAAATATTTAAGCCTTATTTTAGAAGCTATGTAGATAACCCCTTCAATAGATGAGTGTGTGTGTGTGTGTGTGTGTGCGCGCGTGTGCATGCTCATGTGTGTGAATTGAAACTTGAAGTATAGGTTGATCTACATCCTGCCTCCTTCCTCTCCAATTTTTCCTCTTGTCCCCAGACTCATTTTTCTCCAGTGCCTGGCTTTCTCTCTGTGCTTTGACCAAGCCAGATTCATCTCCACTAGGAAGGTGGCCCCCTGGACCTTTGGCACCTCTGCTTTTCTTTCCCTTCTCTTATCCTTGAATTTCAGCTCACAACAACCCCTCCAGAGGTGTTTCCTGGACCAAAGACTCTCTCCACCACCTTTCCTCCTTAATCAACATTTATTACTTAACAGTTCTCTACTGTGCTTATTTTTGCGTGTGTGCTTTTTTTTTTTTAAGGTGGGTCTTGTTGCTGTTGCAAGTGATCCTCTCACTTTAGCCTCCCTAGTAGCTGGGATTACAGGTGTGGGCTACCACACCCAGCTGATGTCTTTATTTTTAAAAAATCATTTCTTCTCATTAGAATTTGTTCAGGGATACAGCACCTAGACACAGGACAATGTCTAGCACAGTGAAAAGCTCAGAAAAAATATCATGATTGAATGCATGAGCTAAATGAAATAAGGTGTCTCAAAAAGGGTGTAGGTACTGGGGTTGATGTAGATTACAAACTAATCAACATTAGCCCTTAGGGTTTTGTACTGTTACTGTAATATCTACATTTCAGAAGATGGGTTGTGTTTTCACTTTTGCATAACAACATTGGCTCTACAAAGTAATTGACCTAAAACAATAGTCCCATATCAAAGGTGAGCCAGTTCCAACAATGCAAAACACAGAATCACTAGCAGCTTAGAAATCACACACCCTCTTCACTTTCCCCTCCCTCGTGGTTTTCCCCCTGGCCAAATGAGAACTATTAAAATGGCAGGCTGCAGGTTAGGTGAGAATGACACGTGTTTCAGAGAAGGGGGACCTTGTTTCTACCTGTACAAGTGGAGGCGACATTGGACTTGAATGGACAGGTAGTGGGAAACAGGTGAGTGGAGAAGGGATGCACGGAGGAGTGTAGGTGAAGGGAGCACCCCATAGTTTCCATCAGAGCCACCGAAGGCACCCAAATAAATCTTCAGATTAAATGATAGAACCGAGCTTGCTGGGCAAATGCAGCAGCTTCCAGACGGTCACCTGTGAAGTCTGCACAACTGTTTAGGAGGTTCTAGTGGATTCTGGAGTGAAGGGAAGGCACCAGCCTAGATTTCATGTCCCCTCCCTCAGATGAGGGGATGTAAGGACGGTCTTGAAAGGCCTGGGATGCCAACCCAGGGCTCTAAGTCTGTAGGATCCCTAAGTAAGACCTCCAGCCAATGACCATGTATGTAAAGTGACTTAGGCGACAGATTTGGGGAGGGCAGCATGCAGGCATTCATAGTTCAGAAAAGAAAGTGTGGAGTCCAACGCTGGGAGAGAAGTAAGACGAATCCCCAAAAAAAAAAAAAAGAAAAAAGAAGGCTGGACAAGAGATGTATAGGTCCAAGGTTTCTGGTTGGCTGAGCAGGTCAGAGGAGTCACATGGGGTGTGGGGTTGTGGGGGTGTGGAGGTGTGGGGACTGGCTCATGGGTTTGGTTCCAGTGCTCCTCTTCAAAATAATAGCCTCTGGTGTCTACTGGCCACTTCATGAAATAGAAATCATGAAGGCACTGTATCTTTTAAAAAAAATCCCCTATGTAGCACTTCCTTAAAAACAGCTATTTAATGCAACCCTGCCAGTGTATTGTTGGTAGTGTGTCTTAATGATTCTGATATTAATGAAACATCTTTGTAAAGGATTGGCGTGTCTTCCTGGTAAGTGTTCAGTTTGTGCTTTTCAAAGTCTTTTGTAACAACTTCATTTCTCTCCTTGGGCTGAGTGAGTGCTTCTTCGGTTAGCTACTGTGGTCAGCTGTTCACTTGCAAGAAATATTAAGACTGAGGTGATCCATGTTTTCAAGGACATTTTCCTTCCCTCTGTTTTTGCTACTCGTAAGAGTTAAGATACTTTGGAATTTCTTAGTCAAAAAAGACTGCAGGTTCATTTGACTATGTAATTGAAACACAGTCAGTGTTTAAGAGTCAAGGTATAACTAAAATTCACTGAGGTTAACTATCGATCCTGTTCTTAAAGACCAATCTAAATATCTACTAGTGCTGATGTTCGTTACAGACACCAGAGTCCACACAGTGGTCTGGGTTTTTTTTAACTGACATGATGTAAACATCATATATCATGACCATCATCTCATTGGATTACTCAGGATTAAATACCAGTAAACTCATTGTGTTTGCAGGATTTGTTAAATGAGATGGGAGGTATGTTGGGCCCACCACATCACCGCCTTTCTTATCATGTGTGTTTGTTTGTTGGTTGGTCATTCTAGTGAACATAGAGTTAAAGCATGTTAAACGTGGTCTGTGTGATAATCCTGTAAAGCAAAATCTAAATCATTTAAAAAGATAAGAAAGTAGATCATGCAAAATAGTAAGTCAGAATTCTTACCCTAAGAGACCATGAACTGACTTAGGCTGAATATCTGCAAACAAATCCATTTGGGGTTTTTGATTGTTTTTTTGTGGCACTGGGATTTGAACTCAGGGTCTCACACGTACTAGGCAGGCTCTCTTACTGCTTGAACCACTCCACCAGTCCAAACCCCTTTATTCTTGAGGAAAAAAAAAAATGCCTTTTTCCAGATTCTCAGAAAACTAAGTTTTTAGAAAGCTCACTGTTTGGGCTGTGGATGTAGCTCAGTGGTTGAATGTTTGCCTGCATGTGTGAGGCCCTGGGCTCAATCCACAGCCCTGCAAAAAAGCAAAACAACAACCACCGCCCCCCAAAAGCCTGATAATATAAAAGAGGACTATGCTAAGAAAAAGGATTTTTGGACTGAAGTTGCAGTGGCTCAAGTGGTAGAGCGTCTGCTTTGCAAGTGGGAAGTCCTGAGTAAAAACCCTAGTCCCATCAAAAAGAAAGAAAGAAAGAAAGAAAACTTAAAAGAATTTTTGATGTTTTTCTTTTTCAGAATTTTTGAATACTCAACTTGAAGAATTTTGAAATGTTTGCCATACTTAAATATACTTCTAAGTTCTCTTTTGGCAGTACCACAGTTTGAACTCAGGGCCTCACTGTTGCTAGGCAGGACCTCTACCCCGTGAGGCCCTCTGTCAGTCTGTTTTGGTGTTGGGTGTTTTTGAGACAGGGTCTCGATTCCTCCTGCCTCTTGATCATCAAACTGAGATCCTCCTGATCTCTGCCTCCTGACTAGCTGGCATTTATAGGCATGAATGAGCCACTGCACCCAGCTTTATTTTATTTCCATATTCTCTTATCAGCTAAGCAGTGTAGGTAATTAACTCTTTAGCTATTTTCACACTTACAAGTTGTAACAGTAGAAATATTTGTAAGAAAATTTGTACCCATCAGAATTCAGATGGCATTTTTGGTTTATATAATATTTTCAGAAAATATTTTTAAACAAGATCTTTCAGAATCAAATTAGAAATTACTTAATTTTGTGGTATAAATGTTAAACGCTTTCAGAATTGTCTTTATTTAATGGTCTTTTTTTTTTCAGTACCAGGGATTGAACCCAGGACCTTGTGCATGCAAGGCAAGCACTCTACCACTGAGCTTCCTCCAATTTATGAATGAAGCATGGTAAGTTAACATTTTAAATCTTACTCTCCCTCCTTTTAAAAACAAAATATTTGGATCAGATTATTGATAAGAGTATGTAATGGTTTGCAAAGCAGTTCAATTTTATGTTTTTGTGCTGTACTTTTGAAAGTAAGAACATTTCATTTTAAAGTAATGATTCAAGGCTGGGTGCTGGTGGTTCACGCCTGTAATCCTAGCTACTCGGGAGGCAGAGATTTGGAGGATCAAGGTTCAAAGCCAGCCCTGGACAAATAGTTGGGAAGACCCTATCTTGAAAAAACCCAATACAAAAAAAAGGACTGGTGGAGTGGCTCAAGTGGTAGGGTACCTGCCTAGCAAGCATGAAGTCCTGAGTTCAAACCCTAGTACAGGCAAAAAAAAAAAAAAAGAAAGAAAGAAAGGATGACTGCTTGGATTCTAATCCATTAAATATATTTCCTTCAGCTCTTTTTCTTTCTTTGTTTCTTTTTAAATTTTTATTTTATTTTATTAATTTGGTGGTTCTGGGGTTTGAACTCAGCAGGTGCTCTACCACTTGAGCTATGCCCTCAGCCTCTTTTGTTTTATTTTTCAGGTAGGGTCTCATTTTTTGGATTGGCTTCAGGCCACAATCCCCCTACTTAGGGCCTCCCATGTAAATGGGACCAAAGGTGGATGTGGCTTATTGATTGATAAGGGACTCTTGCTAACATTTTGCCCAAGTTGGCCTCAAACCCCTGCCCCATCCCCTCTATCCCCACTTCCCTTGTGGCTAGGTTTATAGGCGTGAGCCATGGTGTCTGGCTACCTTTTTAAACTTTTTTTGTTGTCCTCTTTTTCTAAATTGCCACTCCTGCTCTGTAAATCCTTGCTGCAATTTTCAAGCATGCTGAACACTGTACTATGGGTTGAATATTTTTCTCCTAACCCTAGATAATAGGAGAAATACTTTTCTCTAAATACTATTTTCTAGAGAAGTGGCTCTCACCTGGGATCGATTTTGTCACTGAGGACACATTTGACGAGTCATTTGAGATCATCATGATTGTGGGGCTAGCTAGCAGCTTCCAGAGCCAGGGACGCTGCTTAGTGCCCTACACTGTACAGACACCCCACCCCCAACAAAGACATAGCCAGTCCAAAATGTCAGCCATGCCAAAGTCAAGTTCTCCTTTAGGCAAAATTCTGTTTTATATCAGGAAAATTAAGTTACAGCAATTGTTTCATAACTCCAACATTCTGCCCTTGTTTCAGCAGAGTCCTGTTGAACAAGACAGGCTGGGTCAAGCGTTTGAGGACGCCTTTGAGGTACTGAGGCAACATTCAACTGCAGACCTTCAGTACTCCCCAGGTAAAGAGAAGCCAGTGGCACTCTTCTGCTGGTACATAGCTGGCTGGTTGGTCACATATAGAAGAATAAGAATAATGGCCAGACGTGGCGGTAGCACACATCTGTAATTCCAGCTTCTTGGGAGGTTGAGACAGGAGGTGGAAGTTTGAGGACTGACTGAGTTGCTAGCGAGTTCAAGGCAAGCCTGGGCAACTTAACAAGACTGTCTCAAAATAAAAATTTTAAAAAGACTGGAGATGTGGCTCAGAAGTAGAGCACTTGCCTACTATATACAAGGCCCTGGGTTCATTCCTCAGCACGGAAAAGAAATTAATTAATTAACTAACTAAAGAAGACCAGAAAAAGACTTTCTTTTCTTTTCTCTCTCTCTCTCTCTGGGAATGGGGTTTGAACTCAGGAACATGAGCCACACCTTTTTCTTTTTGCAGTGCTGATGATCAAACTCAAAGGCCTTGCTCGTGGCTAGGCAAGAATTCTACCACTGGGTTACGCCCAGCCTGAGAAGATCATTTTTAACTAAGACATGTAGGATTAATTCTAATGATTGCAAAACATAGCCAGAGTTATCTAGCCTAAATAAATTTAAAGTCCTGCATACAAAAATGTAAAGAATATGGAGAATGAGTTCCACACAGGAATACAAAGACATAAAATGATCTATTAATAATTTCAGAGCTGGGCACTGGTAGCTCACACCTGTAATCCTAGCTATTCAGGAGGCAGTGATCAGGAAGATAGAGGTTCAAAGCCAGTCAAGGCAAATAGTTCATGAGACCCTATCTCAAAAAAAACCCATTACAGAAATAAAAAGGGGCTGCTGGAGTGGACCAAGGGGTATATCCTGAGTTCAAACCCTAGTACTGCAACAACAACAAAAAAAAAATTAAAATTTCACAGGAGGAGAGAAAAAGAATTTCAGACTGGAGGTGTGTCTCAAGTGGTAGAGTGCCTGCTTTACAAGCAATGAAGCCCTGAGTTTGGCCCTAGTCTGGCCAAAACAACAACAACAACAAAAAGTTTCATGGCATATTCCTGTAATCCCAGCACTTGGATGGAGGCTGAAAGATGGTAAATTCAAGACCAGCCTGGGCTACATCGCAAGACCCTGGGCTACATAGCAAGTCCCTGTCTCAAAAAAAAGGAAAAAAGTCTACTTAAGTATTTGTAACCCCATCATCATATCATTTTAACTATTCAGAAAAAACTTCTCAGTATTTGAGTTTACCTTACAGACCTTCTCCCCACCCAAGATACAGTCTATATGGAAGAAAATACATATTTTTATCATTCCTTACTTATCCTATAGATTACCTAGTCTAGATGAGATGCAAATATGTTACCTAATGAGTTTGTATAGGGTGTTGTAGATAAAAGAAAACAAATGATGGTGTCAGGCTAAAAGGAGCTAGAAGGTAAGAGTTTTTTATGTAACAGAATATAATATTTAATGTGACAGGATAAATGCCATAAGGGAAGTACAAGGTGATAAGAAAATGTAGGTGCGACCAAGTGCATAGTCAGACACATGTGTGTGCTCACATTGCTCCCTTGTATGCACACATGCATGTGCCAGCTTCACCTTTTTGAGTTTCTGTCTCTGTTTTTCTATTAGATTACAAAAATTACTGGTCTTTCATTAACCAGTGTCCTCACATCAGAGGAAATTCCAACTGCTATGGAGTCTTACCTGCAGAAGAGCCTGTCTGTAATTGGAGAACTGTAATAGTGAGTACCTTTACCAGGAGACCATCACTGCTTTGAATGACTTCTGCAAGGAGGCATTGCTTCTCCTTGAACCATCTGGATTCCTGCACTGGCTTTCACAATAATCTTGCTTTAACCAGCTCTCTTTTTCCTCTTGAACTTGCTAAATGTGCGGACCCATTCCTTTCTATTTTAGCAACCTCCTGCAAAGGAAATTGCCCGTTTTGTTCATTCCTTCCTTCTTTTTCTTTTGATGGGGCTGGGATTTGAACTCAGGGCTTCACACTTGGCAAAGCAGGTGCTCTACCACGTGAGTCACACCTCTAGTCCATTTTTCTCTGGTTTTTTTGGAGATGGGGTCTCTCTTGATCCTACTGATCTCAGCCTCCCAAGTAGCAAGGATTACAGGTGTGAACCGCCGGAGCCTAACCTTCACACTGTTTTCTTCATGCAGCTTTAACTTGGTGGGATCAAAGTGTGAAATGTTTTCTCTTCCCTCAGTCACTATCTCCAACCACGCTATGTCCCTTGTCCTTTCTCTGTTCTCCAGGGTCTTTCCATAGACATTTCTTTGAGGAAGTTTTTTTTCAACATTAATCTCTTCCATTTCTACTTGTTGCCAAGTAAAGTAGAGGATACCCAATATTTTTATTTACTAAACTTGGCAATCCTACTGCCACTTCAACTCCCAACTCTAGCATGTACTGCCTAGCCTCTTGTAGTTGGGGACCTCTTGCCTGCTGGGTAAGCCATGTGTGGCTCAAGCCAAGGCCTTTTCACTAGGCCTAACAACCCACATAAAATTGCCGTATGCAATGGTAGGCGTTTGGACTGCTTCCTCCTATCCCCTCTCTTGGCTCTTCCTGCCCTTGGCTGCCATCTTTCTCCTCTCCTCTCCTCTTGCCAGATGGGCATCCAACACAGTAATGGAAACCCATCTTCCCTTTTTGCTGACACTGCAATCTTCTTGATTCTTTTAGATCTTTGTTTATCACTGGACATCCTTAGGGAGACCAAGGAACAATCTCCTGTCTCTCTCATAGGGAGGAGAGGACACAGAACTCTTCATAAAGCCAAAGGTTACTCTTCGTCCTCCGTCCTCTTTCTATTGGTTTGATGCTATTCTCTCCTGGGAGCTACCTTGATGCAGTTGAGGGTAGCACCTTTTATGTTTGGGGAAATGCTTAGCAATTTTTTTTGCCTTTAGCATTTGGCTTTGGCTGCTAATTGAGGGGTCACTAGGAAAATTCCCCCTTAACATCCTTATGTCTTATTTGTATAGAACAGTGCTGCAGACTTTTATCTTGAAGGAAACATTCATCACTCTCTGCAGAACATAGCTGAAAGCCCGTTGTTACCACCTGCTGTTTTACATCAAAAGGGAGGAAAAGGTATGATCTCCATCACTCCTTACATAGGTAAAATAACCAGATCTTCCTCACAGGAGCTTAAAAGGAATTTTATATCTGAATTTGGAAATTTATTTTTAGGTGGGACCAGGGTTTGAAGTCTGGGCTTTGAGCTTGCAAACCAGGTGCTCTACCATTTGAACCACACCTCTAGTTGATTTTGCTCTGGTTATTTTGGAGATGGGAGTCTCAAAGTGTTTGTCTGGGCTGGTCTCAAACCGTGATCCTCCTGATCTCAGACTCCCAGTAGTTAGGATTACAAGCTCCTGTGAGCCACCAGCACCCAGCTGGAAACACATTTTTTGAGACAAGATCTCACCACATAGCTGAGGCTGGACCTGGATCTCATCCTCCTGCTTCAGCCTCTCTAGTGCTGAGGATTGCAGGTGTACTCCACAACACACTACTGAGTTTGGAATTGTATTTGCAAAATGTTCTTTTACAGCTTCTGTACAACATAGAGACACCCATCTCAAAAGAAAAGTCTCTTATCAAAATTGTGATAATTTGGTCGATTGAACCACTCCAAGCCGTTCATCTTGAGTGAGACTTTCTTTTGCTTCACAGAGAAGTTGTGAAGTCACAAATTTTCACTTAAGTCTGTATTCAAGAATAATGTAGGACTGGAGGCATGACTCAAATGACAGAGCACCTGCCTAGCAAGTGCAGAGCCCTGAGTTCAATCCCCAGTACTGACAGAGAAGTAACTGAAGTTGCCAGTTGTGGCATGGTACATGCCTGTAATCTCTTTCTTAGGAGAAAAATAGACTCCTAGCTGTGGCAAGAGAATCATAATTTTGAGACCAGTCTGGGTTACTTACATGTGAGAGCTGTCTCACAAAAAAAATCTGTATAGAAGGTGAAATTTCCAGTAAGTTGCTGTAGCAAGCCTATTCTAGTATACTCTATCTTCATTTGCTTTTTTTTTTTGTGGTTGTGATGCTGAGGATCGAACCCAGGACCTCATGTATGCCATGCAAGCACTTTAACACCGAGCCACATCCATAGTCAGCAATCTTATTCTAACTGTGAAATTCTTGGGATAGAAATCCACTTCTCAATTAAGTTTTCAAAAAAATAAAAAGACTCCCATAGTAATTCAGTATTTCATGAATTTGAAATCATGATTTTGTAAAATTAAGATGATGGTTTCTCTTAACCAACAGACAAAATGTTAAAGTAGGAGAGTGGTCTGTTGGCTAAGATGCTGGCCACACATCTTGTCACAGGAGAGGGTAAATTGGTGCAGAGCTTTGAAAGGCAATTTGGCAATCCCTATCAAGATTTTATGTACTCGTTGACTGGAGATGTAATTCAGTGTGATGGAGTGCTTGCCTAGCTTGTGCGACACTCTGGGTTCATCCCTAGCACCACACACATACACACCCCACAAAATTAAATATTCATACCTCTTGATTCTTTGGTATTACATAACTCAGTGGTTGAGTGTAAGTCTGTGGGAGACTAAACAAATTATACCACAATTTCTAACATAAATCGTCGTAATAACTATTGGCATTTTTGTGTGTGTGTGTGGCACTGGGGTTTGAACTTAGGGCCCCACGCTTGCTAAGCAGGTGCTCTACATTGTAAGATTAGTATAAAAATTAAACAAGAAACACATGAAAACATTATACCCATACCCTCTCACTGGATAATCACTGTGTTTGCACATTAAGATATTCAATCCAGTGTTTGCAATAGTAAAAAATGGGAACTCACCTACCATTTTTTTGTTGTATAAGGTACTTAGAATTTAACCAAGCAATTTTTAAGCTGAGACATTATCACAGTTATTTTATTTTGGTAATACTGGGATTTGAACTTGGGGTCTCATGCTTGCTACGCAGGCACTTTACCCTTTGAGTGACTCCCCCACTCATGGTTATTTTAAATAAATATGTTTTTGGAAAACTTTTTGCTTCTACAAAATAGTATATTGCACCCTAGGATCATAAATTCCTAAATATGCAATAATTCTTTAAACCAGTAAGGAACAATGTACAAAAGAAAGTAAAACCAAACTCCAAGGCATGAAGTTGGTATCTCTTCATTGTTTGGTTTGGTGAAGGTTTGCCATTAGGGGTACACCCCCTACCATTTTCTGTTGTTAGATTTAAAGTTTTCCACCTGAAATAGGGATACAGTTGAAACAATGACATTTCAAAGCATTTTGGGCATTCATTTTTGGGAGAAAAACAGCATGGCCATAAAATGGAATATACATAGCTATAAAAGTCATGAATGGCTGAGCACCTGTGGTTCACACCTGTAATAGGAGGCAGAGATCAGGAGGATTGTGATTCGAAGCCAGCCCGGGCAAGTAGTTTGAGAGACCCTGTCGAAAACCCAATAAAGGTCTGATGGAGTAGTTGAAGTTGTAGAGTGTCTGCCTAGCAAGTGTGAAGCCCTGAGTTCAAACTCTAGTTCCACCAAAAAAAAAAAAAGGCATGCAGGCATCCCATTTTTATTGATATAGAAAAAACTAAAATATATTTTATTTTCTTTTATTCTTTTAAATTTATTTTTACTTCTGTTGTTGTTTGGGGACAGGATCTTGCTATGTGGCCCAAGCTAGTCTCAAACTCCTTGTGTCAGTTTCCCTTGTGCTGAGATTACAGGCATGCACCATCACACCTGGATCTTTAATCCATTTGAACAGTTCACAAGTGAATAAAGAATAAATGAAAATGTTCTCTTTTCTTTCTATGTTATGGCCCAGAAGCAACAATTGTCACCTGTTTGGTACTTAGTTTAGCTGTAGCTAATCTCTACTGGTCTATGATTTATTTAAGATACATTATTTTCTAAAACAAAATTGCAAAAGACTATGATGCCATTTGTAATTTTAAGTGACTCACATGTTTGTATATCATTTAAAACATTTTCTAGAAATATATGCTAAAACTCTTTCTTTCATTTTGTGCTTTTGTTTGAACTTTTTACCATGAGCATATATTACTTGAAGTGATTTATTTATTTTATTTTTTTGTGTTGGCGATCTGCACCCAGGACCTCGCACATGCTAGGCAAGTACTTTACTACTGAGTTCTACCCCAGCCCCCTATTTTTAAAAAGACAAAGATTTAAACATTTTTTTAAAAAATGTTTATATATCAACTTGAATGCTGAATGAGAGGCAGAAGAGTTCTGTTCGGTGCTGTGACTTTTTTTTGTTTTCTTTCCGTTTGTGACTTTAACTTAATGATGTGTTCTTTGGTAAGTCCCTTTCATTTCTCAATTCATAAACGCAAGATAACACAATGCAGATGATCGGCTCTGTAAACACTGTGAGTTTTTGGATGAGTGGTGCCCATTAGAGACTGTTCCTCCCTGGAGACTGAAGCAGTCTGGGAATCAACCATTGTACTTTCTCGAGGCAAAATGAATTTGTCCCTGGAGTTGTTTGGCTACAGATGGATCTGTGTGTGGGGGTGAGGGCGATAGTAGATATAGACTAACTCAGAAGTCACAAAATGGGCTGTCACCCTCATTTTCAAAGATTTCTGTTGGGCCAAAGAAACCTTATAAACAAAACAAACAAACCCCACAAATCCTCTCACATTTCCTGTCTAGTTACTTTGAGACATAAATGGCCACATTCCTAAAACAATAAAAAAGGGGAAAAAAACTTTTGTAGTACCATTTTATTTCACAATAATAAAAAAATCACAGTGCCCTTTGCCACTGCTCATGAATAATGGCCTGAAAATATTTTTGGCTTTTCCACTCCAGTTTTTTTTTTTTCTGTCTTTCATTTTCCAAGCCATCGTGCAGCTGCAAAGTTAACATCTTTACCTAAGTCACTGCTGTTAGTTTCCTGTTTTCCATATTACAAAGCCACTGCTCACCCCTTACCTCATTTGGCTTAACGAATTTGAGTAAAACTCCTTCAAATGACTCCCGTTTTGGAAATGGCTTTGGAGGTGTCCCCTTTGAAACTACTAAACTTGGCACTCCACTTTGCTCAGTTTTGTTGTTTCATAGAAAATTTAACACATGACCTAAAACTAGGGGCTGAGGTTTAACTGAAGGAAAGCCACAGGACAAATGCAGCTCCAAGAGGCTCCATGTGTCCCTTTCCCAGTGAGTGACAGTACAGAACTTGACGATTTCTACAACAAAGACAGGTCTGGGTAGATCTTTGCCTTTTCAGCCCCATAAAACGATGCCCTAAATGCGTTCCTGAGGGGGTGAGTGGGAGGCAGTTCTGTAGTTCCTTAATAAACCCTTCCTGAAGTGGTTTTCTGGGCACAGCCATGGAGGGCTTAACATTGTTCCCCTCAAATTCAGGCCGGAAGAAGCTGCGACTGTTTGAATACCTTTACGAATCCCTGCTCAATCCTGAGATGACATCTTGCATCCAGTGGGTTGATAAAAACAAAGGCATCTTTCAGTTTGTGTCAAAAAACAAGGAAAAACTTGCTGAACTTTGGGGAAAAAGAAAAGGCAACCGGAAGACCATGACTTACCAGAAAATGGCCAGAGCCCTAAGGAATTATGCAAGGACCGGGGAAGTCATCAAGATCAGGAGGAAGCTCACCTACCAATTCAGTGAGGCCATCCTGCAAAGGCTGGCCCTGCCTCCCTGCCTCGGGAAGGAGGTCTTCTACTCACAGTGTGTGCCACCCGGCCAAGAATATCTCAGTTTGAATAATTGGAGTGCAAATTACAACAGCCATCCATATGCCAATTACCATGAGCTAAGCCACCCTGGTTATTAATACACTGCACCCTACAGGCTTCCAGATTTTTCTCTTGAAGCAAACAGCACTGCCTTTATACCAACAGGTTCCACATCTCTGGATTGGTCTGGGCCAACCACAGAGCAAAAATATTCAAAAGATAATTGGGTCTGTCCTGACCAAGTATAGACATTTTTCTTACCATTATTCCCCCAAATGATACAGTGTAACAACTATTTAGATAGCATTTACCTTGAATTAGAATGTTTGGGGGAGTGGGACTAGGATTTGAACTGAGGGGCTTCACGCTTGCAAAGCAGGCGTTCTACTGCTTGAGTGACATTCCCAGTCCACATCATATTAGTGTCAGAAGTAACCTTGAGATGTTTTAATGTGTGGGAGGATGTTCCTGGGTTATATGCAAATACTTTGCATTTTATATAAAGGACTGCAGATTTTTGCAGATTTTTGGCATCCCAGGGCTTCATCCCCAGCTATACTGAAGAAAAATCCAAAGGGAAAAAAAAAAAGTCCAATTAATTTCATTGTCATCTTTTCATCAAATAGCATTTAATCTATACTAACATGGGAAGTTTTGCCAATAAACTTAATTTTTTGGTGGATCTGGATTTGAACTCAGCAGGCGCTCTACACACCACACCTCCAGTCCTCAACTGTTTCAATGATCAAGTCCCATTTGGGCTTGGTCTTTCCTCTTGCTATTCTCTGTGTAAGGACTTTCTTCTGGGTCAGTTTCCATGACTTGGTCTATATATTGATTTAAACGTTTTCCCAACTTTGCTCATGTGAAAAATCACTCTAGCACAAATCTGATGTCTTTACAAAAAATCATTTACAGAAAATGATAGCACATGATGTAGGGTCTACGCTGAAATGTATTCTCAGCTTTAAAAACTCACCTATTTTTTTTAATTATAGACAATCTAATAGGCGCAAGATGGTATCTCGTGGTTTCAATTTACATTTGTCGCTTACAGATGTTGACTTTTCATATCTATTGACCATTTGTCTTCTGAGAAGTATTCAATCTTTTGCCTTTTTTCATTTTTGGCAGTACTGGAGTTTGAACTCGGGGCTTCATGTCTGCCAGCCCTTTCTTGTATTGAGACTTTCCAGATAGGTTTCGCAAACTATTTGCCTGGGCTGGCTGTGAACCTCAGTCTTCTTGGTCCCTGACTCCTGAGTAGCTAGGATTACAGGTGTGAGCCTCTGGGTACCCGGCAAGAGCTTTTTTGTTTGTTGGTTTGTTTGATGCAATCCCTTTGGCTTGTTTTTGCTTTCATTGGTTGTGTTTGGGGTCCTATTCAAGAAATCTGTGCTCTGTTTTCTTTTGGTAGTTTTATAGTTTCTGGTCTTATAGTTAAGTCTTAAATCCATTTTGACTTGATTCTTTAAGATCTGTTGGGAGTGGGGTGTGAAGCACTGGGGCTTGAACTTAGGGTCTCATGCTTACTAGGCAGGTGCTCTACCACTCGGCCAGTCATTAGAGTTGATTCTTGCATAAGGCCCATTTCCATTCTCTGACATAGATATCCAGGTTTCCCAACACCATTTATTAGGGAGACTGTTCCCCCATTTTGTGTTCTTGGCATCTTTGTTGAAAATCAACTGACTTTAGATATGAGGGTTTATTTCTTAACTCTCCTTTTTTTAATTTTTTAAATTTTTTTTGCTTTAGATTATTTTTCTTTTTTTTTCTTTTTTTTTCCTTTTTCTTTTATTATTCATATGTGCATACAAGGCTTGGTTCATTTCTCCCCCCTGCCCCCACCCCCTCCCTTACCACCCACTCCACTCCCTACCTCTCCCCCCCATCCCCTCAATGCCCAGCAGAAACTATTTTGCCCTTATCTCTAATTTTGTTGTAGAGAGAGTATAAGTCATAATAGGAAGGAACAAGGGTTTTTGCTGGTTGAGATAAGGATAGCTATACAGGGCATTGACTCACATTGATTTCCTGTGCGTGGGTGTTACCTTCTAGGTTAATTCTTTTTGATCTAACCTTTTCTCTAGTACCTGTTCCCCTTTTCCTATTGGCCTCAGTTGCATTTAAGGTATCTGCTTTAGTTTCTCTATGTTAAGGGCAACAAATGCTAGCTAATTTTTTAGGTGTCTTACATATCCTCACCCCTCCCTTGTGTGCTCTCACTTTTATCATGTGCTCATTGTCTAATCCCATTGTTGTGTTTGCCCTTGATCTAATGTCCACATATGAGGGAGAACATACGATTTTTGGTCTTTTGGGCCAGGCTAACCTCACTCAGAATGATGTTCTCCAATTCCATCCATTTACCAGCGAATGATAACATTTCGTTCTTCTTCATGGCTGCATAAAATTCCATTGTGTATAGATACCACATTTTCTTAATCCATTCGTCAGTGGTGGGGCATCTTGGCTGTTTCCATAACTTGGCTATTGTGAATAGTGCCGCAATAAACATGGGTGTGCAGGTGCCTCTGGAGTAACCTGTGTCACAGTCTTTTGGGTATATCCCCAAGAGTGGTATTGCTGGATCAAATGGTAGATCGATGTCTAGCTTTTTAAGTAGCCTCCAAATTTTTTTCCAGAGTGGTTGTACTAGTCTACATCCCCACCAACAGTGTAAGAGGGTTCCTTTTTCCCTGCATCCTCGCCAACACCTGTTGGTGGTGTTGCTGATGATGGCTATTCTAACAGGGGTGAGGTGGAATCTTAGCGTGGTTTTAATTTGCATTTCCTTTATTGCTAGAGATGGTGAGCATTTTTTCATGTGTTTTCTGGCCATTTGAATTTCTTCTTTTGAGAAAGTTCTGTTTAGTTCACTTGCCCATTTCTTTATTGGTTCATTAGTTTTGGGAGAATTTAGTTTTTTAAGTTCCCTATATATTCTGGTTATCAGTCCTTTGTCTGATGTGTAGCTGGCAAATATTTTCTCCCACTCTGTGGGTGTTCAGTTTAGAGACCATTTCTTTTGATGAACAGAAGCTTTTTAGCTTTACGAGGTCCCATTTATCTATGCTATCTCTTAGTTGCTGTGCTGCTGGGGTTTCATTGAGAAAGTTCTTACCTATACCTACTAACTCCAAGTATTTCCTACTCTTTCCTGTATCAATTTTAGAGTTTGTGGTCTGATATTAAGATCCTTGATCCATTTTGAGTTAATCTTGGTATAGGGTGATATACATGGATCTAGTTTCAGTTTTTTGCAGACTGCTAACCAGTTTTCCCAGCAGTGTTTGTTGAAGAGGCTGCTATTTCTCCATCGTATATTTTTAGCTCCTTTGTCAAAGACAAGTTGGTTATAGTTGTGTGGCTTCATATCTGGGTCCTCTATTCTGTTCCACTGGTCTTCATGTCTGTTTTTGTGCCAGTACCATGCTGTTTTTATTGTTATTGCTTTGTAATATAGTTTGAAGTCAGGTATTGTGATACCTCCTGCATTGTTCTTTTGACTGAGTATTGCCTTGGCTATTTGTGGCCTCTTGTGTTTCCATATAAATTTAACAGTAGATTTTTCAATCTCTTTAATGAATGTCATTGGGATTTTGATGGGAATTGCATTAAACATGTAGATTACTTTGGGGAGTATTGACATTTTTACTATGTTGATTCTACCAATCCATGAGCATGGGAGAGCTCTCCACTTTCTATAGTCTTCCTCAATCTCTTTCTTCAGAAGTGTATAGTTTTCCTTGTAGAGGTCTTTCACATCTTTTGTTAGGTTTACACCTAGGTATTTGATTTTGTTTGAGGCTATTGTAAATGGAATTGTTTTCATACATTCTTTTTCCGTTTGCTCATTGTTAGTGTATAGAAATGCTAATGATTTTTCTATGTTGATTTTATATCCTGCTACCTTGCTATAGCTATTGATGATGTCTAGAAGCTTCTGAGTAGAGTTTTTTGGGTCTTTAAGGTATAGGATCATGTCGTCTGCAAATAGGGATATTTTGACAGTTTCTTTACCTATTTGTATTCCTTTTATTCCTTCTTCTTGCCTAATTGCTCTGGCTAGGAATTCCCATTAACTCTCATTTTTTTGTATTTCAGACATTTTGATATTGCTCTCTATCTTATTGCTGTGTCTTATAAGCCAATATATTTTGGTTTGATTACTGTAGCTTTACAATACATTCTGAAATCTGGCAAATTCGCTGCCTCCTGCTATCTCTGTACAAATTTTAGAATTTTTTTCTGTTCCTGTGAAGAATATTGGTATTTGAACACAAGTTTATGAAAACAAACGCTCTCAAGAATGTGAGGAGAAGGAAATCCTAAAACACTGTTGGTGAGAATGTAAATTAGTGCAGCCCCTATGGAAATCAGTATGGAGGAACCTCAAGAAATGAAAACTAGACCTACCATATGATCCTGCCACTCCAGACATGCATCCAAAGGAATGCAAATCAGCACACTATAGATATACCTGCACCCCCATGTTTTTATCAGTAGTATTCACAATAGCCAAAATATGGACTTAGCCTAGGAGCCCATCAACTAATGATAGATAAGATGTACTGTGTGGGCTGGTGGAGTGGCTCAAGTGGTAAGAGCACCTACCTAGCAAGAAACTGTGTATACACAATGAAGTATTATTTAGCCATAAAGAATGAAAGGCCATCAAGTAAAGTGAAATAAGCCAAACTGAGACATATCACACGTTCTCTCTCAGGTGGAATCTAGATCTTAGAAAAAAAAATGACATCAGTGTAAAATGGAGACTGGGCAGGGGGGAACGAGTGGGAGAGTGAAGTAAAAGGAGAGGATGAAGCAGGAGTGAATGTGGTCAAAGTACTTTATTTATGTATGCAGGAAGGATAATATTTATTTCAGCAGGATAACCTGCTGAAATTGTTTTTAAAGGGGGGAGGTGGGAAAAAGAGTAATAAATGGTGAATTTAATAATTATATGCATGTATGGAAATACCCCAATAAAATCCCTTTGTAAAATTAGTAATATACTCTAATAAGAAAAGGAGGGGGTGAAGAGAGAAGGATGGAGGGGGTGAATCTAAGACATACTATAATCACATATATG